TGTGTGTGTGTGTGTGTGTGTGTGTGTGTGTGTGTGTGTGTGTGTGTGTTAGCCATGTGATAGGTATTTGTGACAGAACCAGAGAGGGCAGCTCTGACCAGGACTGCTGAGTTGTCCTTGCCCCCGTCTTGAGATCATCTTCATGTCCTAGAGAATGAAAAACATCACACGAAGGCCTAATGCTCCCGCGGACTGGAAATGATCTACAGACTCAAAGAGTTTTACAGGACAGGTAGCCCTGGGTGGCACCACCTGGTAATGCCACCAAAGGTCCCTACATGGGAGACAGATAGTCAAAGAGAATGACATATAGCCACAGCACATCTAAATGGGTTCTGATTTCTTTTCTTTTTTTTTTTTTTTTTACTGCTATTCCTTAGAAGAAGCCAAAAGATAGACGTGGTGGTACCAGTTGTTCTGGAGGCTGAGGCAGGAGGATCTTGAATTCAAGGCCAGCCTGGCTAGCTTAGTGAGACTGTCTAAAAAAAAAAAAAGAAAAGGAAAGGAAAAGAGACAGAAAGGGGTGGGAGAAGCATGGTAGTGCACAACTTGAATCCCAATACTTAGAAGGCAGAAAAGGGTGGATCCTTGTGAATCTGAAGCCAGCCCGGTTTACACAGTAAGTTCCAAGCCAGCCAGAGATACACAGTAAGACCCTGTTCAAACCATCAAGGAAGAAGCCAGAATAAAATACATTTTCACCTTAGTGGGAAACAGACCGTGTCATGTCAAACCTGGAGTTGACAATGACACCATGACACCAGAGGCCCCTGAGATACCTCTCTCCTCACTTTCACCTCTAAATAGGCTCCCTTCTCTGGTCCTGCCATGCACTCATGCGACACCCACTCTGCCAGCCAACACACTCTGGAGAGGGATAAAGAAGGCCTTGCTGAGAAACGCAGGAGACAGCAAGTTCTAGGGTCTTCTGAGCCAGGCCCACTCTCCTACTCTGCATGAGCAGAGACAAGAGTCGGCCACCTCCTAACTCACAGAGAACTTTACATATCGTTGAACGAGAGTCAAGGACAGGGGTCTCCCAGCAGACGGGGTCTCCCAGCAGACGGGGCCTCTGCAGCCTCAGGAGGGTCTGGGAATGGGTGCTCAGGATGCACACTGGGCTATGGGCTCAAAGCAGTTACCTCTAGAAGTGGAGGACTCGGAGGTTGGGAGCATCCTCTCCTCCGCCTCCCTCTCACGGATGTGTGTCCAGTGCACATCGGCCTGGATCGCCAAGGGATCCGCTGCGGTTAGGATCTGCTGCAGCCTGCTGCTCCCGGCTAGGGCGCCAGGTCCCCAGGAAGGAGGGCACAGGGAGGACAGAAGGGAAAAGCGAACAGGGACAGGAGGGAGGGACGAGACACCACAGGAAGGAAACAAAGAATTACAGTGTTTGCCAGGAGTAGTTTGAGTCAGAAAGAGGTAAAAATCGAGAATGCCTGTGCAGAAACCACACACAAGCGCGTGCGTACACACACACAGGGGCACACGCTCACACTTTCTCGTCATTTGGTTGATTTAGTCATTTTGAGCTTCACATCACTTCTGAGTTTAGTGAGGATCCACACACTCCACCTCCAAATGCAGAAGGAATTTTTCCTTTCCATCATAAAATGAATCTGAGGCCCACACTGCCCAGGGTGGGACAGGACAGATGACCCTCACCGTGTAGGACCATCACTGCAGGGCCCGGCTGAGGACGGGGCCACTCTGCCAGGAGCCAGCCAACTCACCGGCACAGACATGTGCTCTGCTGGGACTTTAGCTCTCACCCTCTGCAGTAAAGCAGATGCCGGAGAGGACACGCCCGTTGGCCAGAGACCACAAGGCTGTGTGCTGGCGCTGTGGCGGGGGTACTGACATGGGGCAGGCGGTCAGCATTTGAGGGTGGGGACGGCAGCTAGGGATGAAGTGGAGATCTGTCCTGTGAAGTCCTGAACTCCAGCATTCATGCAGGAGTGAGGCCAATACCCCCACGACTGTGGGGGAAGCCCCTCCTTTCTTACAAACTCCACTGGAAGCCCTTCTGGCCCCTCTGGGCACAGATCTGCCTCTCAGCTAACTCGCCAGGGCTCCCTCATACACTCTTACTGGCAGAGCCTGTGGAGTGGACATGCAGCCCCTGCCCCGCAGGACCTCTCATTAGTGCTTGGATCATGCCACACAGTAGGGTTAAGATAAAGGGACAGCCAGTAACTAAGGAGCATGGGGGTGGGCGCTGAGGAGGGGAGGGCAAGCTAGTCAGGTGGTAAGAGCAGGTGCCACTGAAGATACTGGGGCTTCTGCCAGAAGCCAGTTTCCATCTGGGAGTATATGCTCCCCCACCCCGACACCCCTAATTGGATACCGCCTGTCACTACCGGGACAGCTCCGTAACGAAGTCATGAAGGTGTGACATGGCGCAAGGCAGGAGCGGAGTCTACCGTGTGGACGTCACATTGGACAGTAGAGCGGCCCCGCAGACTCTACTGGTCTCTAGACTCAGCCTACTCCAATGACTGTCTGCCCAGATGGTGCTGGCAAGGGCTGGATCACGGCAAATTCACCAATAGCTCGGCTGTGTCAGGACCAGGGACGGTGAGACACAGAGAAGAAGGTTGGTCCTTTCTTTAGCTTCTAAGCAACAGGGAAGAGTTACGCCTTTTCTCTGAGCATGGTTCTGCCTTCTGCCAGCACACGTGGCCCTGTGTTGTGTGTGTGTGTGTGGTGGGAGTGGGGAGGCACCGGCAGCACGGAGATCCTGGGGTATGGCTGGGCAGCGAGGTTTTACTGAACAACGGGAACTCAGAGCAAAACCTCCAGGGATGCCGGTGGGGCCCCATTCCATAAACGCTGTTGCTGGGAATCTGTAGATTCATGCGCTATTCTGCATCAGCACAGGTGCCCAGCTGGGTATGCTCAAAGCCTCTGCGAGCAGCTTTCTAAAATGACCTTTCCGTGTGGGACCTGCTCTTGGAGGCACATTTTAGATGGCTGCAAGGGAGCTGGGGTAGAGATGGGCAGGGGGCAAAGCGGGTACCTTCACGTGTACCCATTTCTTCTTCCTTTGAGAGATGCTGGAGCCACTGGCCTTGCAGGAGTTCTCTGTCCCAGGGGCAATACTCCCCTTCTACAGCAGGGGGAGCCAGACACCCACAGACAGCACCAAGAATCCCACAGGGGGACAAGTGGAGGAGGAAATGGAGGGAGGAAAGAGAACAGAGAGCAGAGTTATCTATCCTAGCTGCTTGCGAGAGTGTCCTGCCCCGACCACACAGGCATCCAGGTGTGCTGCCCCAAAGAGGCAAGGTAAGCTGGGGACAAAGGAACATCCAAGGGCTGGGCTGAAGGAACTGTGAACTTCCCAGCCTGGGAAGTAAAGTCTTCACAAAAGAAAGGTGGGCCAACTTTCCCAGAGTGGTGTGGGGGCTAAAAGCTGCTAGGCAGTCATTGTCACATACAGATAACGGAATCTCAAGTGATTCAAACGGAGTGTCTTTCCCTGTGGCAGCTGTGAAGGGGATGCACTCACTCTGATGAACGTTAGCATACGGAAGCTCTGGGCTGGCATGGTGAGGCAGACATGGCAGAACAGAACAACCATGCTCTGGCTAGTCCAGTCCCTTTCCGGCACATTCCTCCTTCATGTCTCATGAAATTGAGTGGGTCTGCCTAGATTCCACTTTGGCCTTCAGAGAAGCCGGTGCAGGAGGATGAGAGATGATGCTCTCTAGGGGAGACGCCTGAGCATCACCAAGTGTACTGATCCTGAGCACACTGGGATGGCCCTGGGCAGGGAGCACATAGAATCCTAGGACAAGCAGGGCCAACTAGGAGGGGATGTTGCCACCGAGAGCTAACTCTCTGTGTCCGTGTTGTCAGGAATAACTCCTAAGCATGGCTGGAAGAACACGTGCTTGTCCCTCCCTTTGGCTCTGTGTCCCCAGGGAAGTGAGCATGGCTCTCCCTGGGGAGTCCACCAGTCCTGGCTCCTTCTTAGCCATCCACCAGGCCCTCTGCAGCCAGGGAAAGAGGACAGTCTCAGTACAGCCAAGTCCCTTATGTCTTTAGGTCACAGCCAGACAGGGGATGAACAGAAAAATCTCAAGTCCAATGCAAGAGGAGCTTGAGAAGCAACTGGAATGGCTGGAAACTCAAAACCTGAACACCGCTTCAGGCCCCAAAGGTGACTGACTATGTGGCTGGGGAGGGTCTAGTGAGCACCTAAGACAGCAGCAGTCACCCAAGCACCTTGGGCGGCTCCTCAGAGGAGCCAACTTTCTTTGTCTTACTCAAAGTTCTCCACACGGAACTGAAGGGGGATAAAAGAGATAAAAGATAAAATGAAAAATGAAAGCAATCTAATTTGGACACAGTCCTCAGATGAGCCCCTGCCTGCCTTCCACTTCCAACTAAAAATAGACAAGGGACATATTTCTCAGTTTGCCAGACATTGCATCCCACCCAAAGTCTGGAAAGGGTGAGGGCCAGAAAACCCCAGGTCCTGAGGGCGGCAGCCATGACACCTCTTACACTCACACCAGAAACACAGTCGAAGGGGTGGGAGGTGGGATGGGGTCTGGACTAGAGGAGACGTTCCTGACCTTCACTTGACTCCTCCTCTTCCTCTTCGTCATATTCTTCCTCCTCCTCCTCTTCCTCCTCCTCCTCTTCCTCCGGCTCGTAGTTCTTGGAGGCCTCCAGCTCCTCTTCACTCCTTCCCTTCAGAAGGGCATGAATCCTCACTGCCTCCTTCCAGGGAACCCCGCCCAGGTCAGAGGTAGGGAGCTGATCATCGTCATCTTCCTCTTCCTCCTCCTCCATCTCCGACTCGGAACTGCTGAGGGGAAGAAACCACATAGCCCAAGTGAAGGAATGACAACACCGTGGAGAAGGAAGGTCCAAAGCCACTGTCATGGTAGCGGCTCCCAACAAGGCAAGGAAAGGAAGCAGGCCAGGCTGGTACCCTGCCCCAGCCAGGCAAGGGACAGCGAGGCAGGCACTAACAGGGCAGGACGACAGACACATATGTACAACACCTATGCAGACCCACCCAAGGGGAAACTTGGCCTGTGGGGCATAACAGCTACTCAGGGCACACCAACAAAAAAGGGGAGAAGGTCCTTGCTTGCCATTGTTCGGCTGGAGGAACTCAACTAGACTACGCAGATTGGTTGAAGACTACAGTGAAAGCCACGGGTAGGTGAAGATGGAGAAGAAGCCCCAAGAGGCTGAACTGGCAGGCAGAAGTCAGTGTGTGTGTGTTTGGGAGGTGGGGAGCTCTGTGTTCAAGGTGAAGTGCAGTAAAGGACCCAGCACAGGGAGAGTAGGGACCCTATAAAAGGCCCCGCCTCCTGGGGTCACCCTCAGTCTTCTCATCTGTTCCCTTCACAGCACAAGGCCAGCTCAGCCCGGGATGAAAGCAGTCTAAGTTCACCAACTCCGCCAAGACAGAACTCCGTCCGACCTCTGCTCTCCTTTGGGCCCTGCCAAGGTAGACATGCAGAATGCAGTCGCATGTGGCTTTGCTGGAGAGGTTCCGATTTGTTTCCAAGTCAGGACACTTTGCCCTCTGTCAGAGGTAGGCATTGGACCACGCCGGAGGAAAAAAAAATCTGTTTTTAGTACAAAGCACAGGGCTGAGTTCTGGGCCCAAGCTCCACAAGCATGAGGAGTGGGGTGGCTGTCGAGTCTCAGCTTCCCGGGAAGGTGGCTTAGCTCCCCATAGCCCCTTCGTTCACGTGAGTCAAAGCACACACTGAAATGCAGGCGATGGCGCTTATTTCAAGAGCTTTGATGGGGAGGGGATCTAGGGTGACCTCTGGCCACACTTTTTATTACAGGGGAAAGAGGGGCTTTAGGTTACCCTGTGACTAGATTAACCGCATAGACTATCAAAAATTATTATGTACATAATGGAGTCCCAATAAAATCTCCAAGGTTCCAGGTCTGAGCGAACATGACATCACACATGGAAACCAGGACCTGAATGCTGGCCCCACTCCACAGGAGCAGGACAATGGGAGTTCTGAGTCTGGTAGTTTCCTGGACTCTCCCATGAGAAAGTCTTTCCATGGCGGAGCCTAAACCTCAGCATCTTTCCCCCACTAGCCATAAGCATGATAGCTTCCAGAAAGTTCTGTGTCCCTCTCAAGCAGCTGAGCTCCATGGTGCTTCTGGCAAACTGTCAGAAATGAGGATACATCCCCTCTTGTCTGCGACTAACTTCTCAGAGGGACTCACTGACATCTCTGTTGCAGGCTGTGCACAATCCCTTCACTCTGCCTCTATTCCACCAAGTTAGTCATTAATGACCCTTCCTCCCATTGCAATAGGGCCCAGCCATGAGCATGACAGCTTCCGGAAAGTTCTGCATCTCTCTCAAGTGGCTGGGCCTTATGGAGCTGTGGTGCTCAGCAGGTAGACCACGTGATGCCGGCCTAACAGGTACATGGTGAAGGCCACGTGATGCCGGCCTAACAGGTACATGGTGAAGGCCACGTGATGCCGGCCTAACAGGTACATGGTGAAGGCCACGTGATGCTGGCCTAACAGGTACATGGTGAAGGCCATGTGATGCTGGCCTAACAGGTACATGGTGAAGGCCAGGGGTCTTAGACAGACACCACTCTGACACTGCTTGTTCACCTCTACAACCAATCACTCATTCGTTCATGAATTCTTTTTCTTTCTTGAGACAGGGCCCCATTATGTAGCCCAGGCTGGCCTGAATCCTCAGTCCTCTTGAGGGATGGAGTTAGAGGTGTGTACAGCCATATACTGCAGAAAGACTATTCTGAGACCTGCGACACCTCAGCCAATGGGCACACTCACTCAGCTAGTGTAGACTGGGTCTCCTTGCACCAATACTGTCTGAGTACTGGGGATGGCGCAGGCGACCCAGGAAAGCCCAGGCACATATATCAGAAGGTGTGTGTCGGGGGGGGGGGGTGTTAGGTGATGTGTCAGAGATCTGGGAGGAGGTGGTTTAAAGTGTAAACATCTGGCCAGATGTGGCGGCGCCTGCCTGTAATGCCAGACCCTGGAAGGCAGAGATGAGGTTCACTGCATGTTCGAGGCTAGCCTGGTTTACACAAGTTCCAGGCTGGCAGGGCTATAGAGTAAGACCATGACTCAAACAAACAAACAAACAAATGAACAAATCCCAAGAGAAGAGGAAACAGAAAGGATGGAAAGAGTGGCCCCCGAGTTCTGAGCATCTCCCACCATGTTTGTGTTTGCACCAGTTTCCCCTCCTGTTAATGATGTGTGCTATGAGTGCCGCTCACGGCCGCTCCATCTGAAGGACACGGGGACTTCTGCACTCATCTTAAACTTCCCGTCCCTCCACATGGCCCAGTGTGCCCAGTGGCTTGTCTGGCCAGGCCAGGAGAGACCTGAGTGTAGCCTGACCTCACCCATGTCGTGTTATTAGGATGGCTGTACTAGGCATGAATACATCTCTCTGTGATGATGACGATGACGCCCCACGATGGCTATTAGTGCCACTCCAGCTAGTTTTATGACAGCTAGGGGTTGTAAGAGCGTGACAACAGGAGCGGAAAGGTCAGCCCCCACTTTCCTCTACCAGCGGGAGGCATAAGCATTTGCCAGAGGCATCTCTATTTGCTCCTGCAAAGCAGTCTCCCTTGAAGGGAGGACAGAGAGAACCCACAGGAACCAGTAGAAGCTTCCTTCCTGCTACCTCTATCACAGAACCTTAGGGCCAGTGTCTTACATCACATCAGAGTCAAGGCGTAAATCCAGGCCCTCATGCATGCCTGGCAAGCTACACCCTCAGCCTCAAGGCTCACTTTAGATCCTCCGGTTGACCCCAGCATCTGAACCTCAGGTCCTAGCCTATTGAGGCCAGAGAGTAGGAACCCACAGCAGTGTGTACTTCGTTAGACTACAGTAATGGACACATTTTAGGTGAGGAGGATCCATACAGTAGCAAAAATGCAACAAAAGCATCCAACTTTCTTCCTTCTAACGAAGGGATGCAGTCTCCTAAGAGCGATGGGGACCAGGACGACCAATCATCATCTTCTCAGCCTGGAACATGGGTGGGAGGCTGAAGTAGGAGAGTAACAGGTTCAAGCCCTGCCTGGGTTACATAGTGAATTTAAATGGCCTAGGCACCTGAGTGAGACCCCACCTCAAAATAAGATTTAAAAAAAGAGGACTGGATGTATAATTCAGTAGAGTGTTTGCCTAGCATGCCTGGGCTGTGGGTTCGATCTCTGAAGCACAGGGCACTTCACTTGTCTGATTCCTTCATTTTCAGGCACCCCCCCCATGTCCTGCCTTAGTCACGTGACCCACCCTTCTGCACAGCTTCTCTTACAGCTGAGCATGCCTAACTAAGATGTAAGGGAATCAGGAGTTCTAGCCGTGTGCCCAGTCAGGCGCTTCAGTGCTTCCCCCGGAACCTGACAGTGATCCAGTACCAGCAGCTGTCGGGGTGGTAGTCCCAAGGATTTGGTCCAGACACACGGCTCTGAGATGGATATCATGGAGTTGGATGTCAAGCTCCCTAGGGTCCCCTCTCTCCCGCCTTTCTCTTTCATTTTTCTGGGCCTCATGTAGTGCAAGATGACCTCAAATTTTTTATGGAGCAAGGATGACCCTCAAGTTTTCCATCCTTCTGCCTCCACCGCCCAAGTACCAGGAGCACAAAACCATATGCAGTGCTAGAGATTAAATTCAGGGCTCCGTGTATGTTAGGCAAGCACACCACCAACCGAACTACTTCCTCAGCTCCTTCCCATTGCGATAGGAAGGAAACAGAATCAAATGGCTTTGACTCTTAGGTTAAGCCGCTAGTCAGTGACTCCAGTCTGCTCTGCCACACCCCTGGGTCTCACTGACCCTGACAATACTCTGTTAACATGCAGGGGGCTTAAAAAGGCACACATTGTTCTCTACATTCAGCCCTGGAAATCGCACATGCGTGTCAGTCAGGGCTGGCATTCCTTGCTGCCTCTGTTGAAAAAGGGGCGGAGAGGGGCTCCTGTTTATTCATGGCCTGCTTTTCCTCTTGCTCCTCTGCTGGTGCCATCAACTTTGGGGAGTCCTCTGAAACTTTGTCCCATTTGCAGGAGTTACTTGTTTGCTCCAGGGGTGCACTGGCTGACTGATGTGGGATTCTCCTCTGTATGCTGTGAGTACTATTGGTTAATAAAGAAACTGTCTTGGTCTGTGATAGGGCAAAAGAATAAATGTAGGTGGGGAAAACTAAACTGAATGCCTGGAGAAAGAAGGCGGAGTCAGGAGAAGCCATGGAGCGGCCAGAGGAGAAAGACACAGGCTGCTAACTGGTAAAATATAAAGTAGTAGAAATGGGTTAATTTAATATGTAAGAGCTTGCTAGGAATATGCTATAGTGATTGGCCAAGCAGCAACTTAATTAATATTATTTCTGTGTGATTATTTTGGGGCTGAGTAGCTGGGAACAAATAAGCAGCCTCTTACAACAGCTGACTTCATTTTTTAAAAAATTTTTTTTTAGATTTATCAGTTTCTTATGTTTATGAGCATTCTGTATGTCTGTGCACCATATGCATGCCTGGTGACTTCAGAGATCAGAAGAGGACATCACATCTCCTGGAACTGGAATTACAGAAGGCTGTGAGCCACCATGTTGGTGCTAGGAATCGAACTTGAGTCCTCTGCAAGAGCAACAAGTGCTCTTAACCACTGAGTCATCTTTCCAGCATCTGAGTATTCTTTAGAATAGTGGAGAGCAGGCAGTAAGGACCCAGGGCCTGGCCCTAGAAGTCTGAGTTGGAATTTCAGGTCCTGTCCTAGTTACCACCAGTTTCCTCCCCTACAAGAGGACAAAACACACGGCCCACATCTATTCCTAGGACTCTCATGAACACATACATGGTCAGGAGCACACAGAGGAAACTCCAAACACTTAAACATGCTAAGGACTGATTTAAACACGGTGTTCGAACCTATCCTAAACTTTCACACTGATTTGAGGAAGACACGAGTGGTATTACGTTATAGATGAGGAAACTGAGGGACTTGCCTGCTTCACAGCTGAGAAGACCCAAGATAGCAGCCCAATCAAACGGGTTCAGATTCCCTTGCTCATCAAGCGCTTTTGCTGTCAGCTGAATCCAGGGACCCAGTAGCCAGACAAACCATGGGCTCGGCACTCACCTGCTGGCCACATCCTCTTCGGTGCCCTTGTCTAATACGCTGCTGAGGTTATGCTCGGCCTGCGTCTCCTCAGGCACCTCCTCCAGCTCCTCTACCTGCCTCACAGATCGGCGGTAGTTCTCCAGCTCGATCCTCTCGGGAGTGCCCCTCAGCCTCTTGGCGATGCTGGGCTCCTCCAGGCCATTCATGCTGGAACCTGCGGGGAAAGCAAACACGCAAGCTCTGAGGAGGAAGGGCAGAGAGAAATGCCAGCAATGGATGACGGGAGCTGGTGCTGGAAGAGAGGGACTGTTGACCACTGGGACAGTCATAACTCATTTCTCAGGAAAAGATACACAATCTTCCGGGAAGTCAGAACATAGGCAACTGAAAGCTGGAAGGGTTGTGGATTGATCTGAGGCAGGAAATGATGACGGTAGGCGTGGCAATGCTTCCCTAAGAAGGAGACACAGAGACCACACAGCCTCATCTGATACCACCTAACAGGTGATGGTAACTGGGTGTGTGTGTGGGGGGGGGGTTGTGCAGGGCCTTCAGGTGGGTCTCTCATCACCACAGACTAAGAGAGTCACAGAGAGGGTGTCGTCCTTCTGGTGGCTCACACCAAGATGGGCTGGCAGCACCCTGCTAAGGCGTCTTGCGGGCCTGCAGATTGCATAGCATCTGCCTTGTCTTGTCGTCATGCATCTGAGAAACACTCTGTAGATCAAACCACGCCACAGAGGTGGTGCTGAGCCCTCTGCATGGCTGCTTGGTGGAGAATGGAGTCAGGCTTGGCCGTGGGGGGCGGGTGCGCCCATTCCCCACGCTGGCACACAAGCACACTTTCCCTGTAAACAGCGATGAGGAGAGACTTAGAAATTGCACAGTGTTCTGTCCCTGTCATTCTTTCTCTTAGGGATCTGAGCGTCCGTCAATGACCTTTGCTCGTCTGTTAGAATGACGGGGGTCACTGGGAGGAATTTTTTGAATTCTACCATTCCTACAGCATATTTTGCTTTTGAACAATACAATATTTTTGAATATTTTGCTTTGGAAAATTTGCACCGTGTTTCTAAAATTTAAAACATTACCTACAAAGCCCCCATGTCTCTTTCGTCTCCTTCAAGCCACAGGGGGAGCTCTGTGTCCTCACCAGCACTGCTCCTCTCTGACACTCTTTAGCGTTCCGGTTCTGGTCACAGACCCCTCATGTACTCTGTAGTGTGTCTGCTGTGTCATGACACCACACAGGTACACTCAGGTAAACTCAGGTCTGGACCAAGACTGCACCAGTGCCTGGCAGGGTTGGAACACGGTCTAAGAGCGGAGTTGTGTGAGAATTCTGAATGCTTGTGAGAAAATGCCTGCTAGAGAACACAAGGGTCTTGAGACCTGTTTCTTCAGGACAAGGAATTGTGCTTAGAATGTGTTTTCATGCTCCTCCCAAGTGTGGCTGATAGGAGGGAGTTTACTCCCGATTATTCATTACAGCTGGCTATTGTTATTTGTTTATATGCTTCTATGGAAAAACATGTTTTTCTTGTCCTTGTGATTGCATGTATACAGCTTGAGCTCCTGAGAACTTCCTCATGCGGCTGGTGTTCTGAATAAAGTTGTCTATGGCACAAGACTTTAGTCTGCCTCCGGAGACTGTTAGGCTCCGCCCTCCCAGGTCCCACCACTTCGAGAGTGGTGAACATGGCAGACAGATCTTAGGAAAACTACAGTCTTAAAGTCCTACCCTGGCCTGTGGACACGATGACACCTGCCTCCCAGGACTGGTATGAGTGTGACGGTGCCAACTCTGGATCCCCAGCCTATCGGTTACCTTCTTTTCCCACAAGGCAGAACTCAGCAAATACAAGTGAAGCCGCATACCCAATGTCCAGTAGTATTCACGCATCCCTGCAGTGCATACTCACACACAGGAGTTGACACCCATTTACTCTAGACCACAAATTCAGTCACCCAACACGGGAAGAAGCGGCAGCCCTGGGCTCATTGCACGCACACTTGTGCTTTAAGATACAAAGCGACAGAGAAGAGGTAGGCGCAGGCCAGCAAAGCAGGCAGAGCAGTTTTCACAGCCTCCTGATGACCTGAGTTCAACCCCAGGATACATGCAGAGGTGGAAGGAGAAGACCAATTCCACAAAGTTATCCTTTGACCTCGGTATGTGCACTGTGGCACAATCCTTACACCATACACACACAACAACAATAATAAATGAAGTTGGTTTTTGTTGTTTTTTTTTTTTTTAAAAAAAAGACAGAGCCCAGGTGAGAGAGGGTTGGGAACAAGCCACAGGTTCTGACTAGGGCAGGTCCCTGGCTGCCACTGCATTCTAAGCACCAACAGATAACACTGGAGTTTTATATGTGATGCCACACCAACCCAACTTGGGAGACTGGTGTCTTCTCAGGCAGACCTGAAAGAGTTTAGCAATTCTGGTATCCTGACTAGTTGGACAGGAAATCCTCTGAGGGCTGGCACTTCTGCTGTGTACAGCTTTATGTTGTTGAGACATGGTCTCTAGCCCAGGCTGGCCTCAAATTCACTATAGCCAAAGATGATTCTCCTGCCTCTCAAGTGCTGGGATTAGATAGAGGCGTGTGCCACCATACCTGGCTCAATACTGGGAGAATGAAGGCAGGGCCTCATGCATGACAGGCAAGAACGGACCTACAGCCCCAGCCTGTCAGAGTTTTCAACCTTTGCCACAGCACGGGAGGGTTTCTATGAACACAGGCAGTGCAGGGTTCGTCAGCGCATCTGCTGCAAGCTCCAGGCTCTCCGACAGTAGCAGCTTCCAAGGTGATGCTCAGTCTGTTGATCCAGGCAAGAGTATGCGGATGGGATCTGACCGTGCATCCTGGGTTTACCTCTCCACATCCTCTCTCCCCCGGATGCATCTTTAAATACCCTGCTCCATGTTTCAACACCTAGTTCACAGCCTCGAAAGTACAAGCTACACACACAGCTAGATGAGCGCGTCTGGGAGCTAAGGGCACAGACTACAAGAGATGGGCAGGCAGCCAAACAAGTGGAACCTCCTCACTCTCCAAAGGAAAGCAGACTGTCCAGGCCTCAAAAAGGCACAGGCTCCCAGTCGCTGCTTCATCCGTCCTTCATCAATGCACACGAGCTCCACAGGACTCTCGGACCACACACAGTGGGAGTCTTTCTCAGCATGAGCCTGACAATTGCTCTTACACGGAAAACAGAGGAACAAACACGAAGCAAGCTGGCTTCCCCAAGTATTAGCTTCCCCAGAACTAACATTGAGCACCGCTAGTGTTTCTTCTAGATGGGAAGAGAAACTATCACTTTGGGGCAAACAACTGACGGTCATCAGTTCTAACCCCAGCAAGTTCAAGGTGGAATGAGCAGACGCCCATGTGGAAATACACCTCAGAAGCAAAGTTGGGTTCGCAGTGTGCTGGGAACTCTGTTAGAACCTTGGGAAAGATGGTGGATGAAAACCCTTCCCACTCTTACATAGACTTGTGGACAGCATGTCAGGCGTAAGTTATTAGGTATTACGACAGACGCATGATCGTGCCGCCATGAGAGACCTAAGGAAGCAGTGTCGTGTCCCAGGTATTCAGGGAAGGTCTGCCGAAGGACTGGATAGCCAAGCAGCTTTAGAAAACCCACGCGAGACTGGCATTACAATCCGTAAACCAGGTGTCTGAGGTCTGCAGACACGAGGTGCCTGGAGTCACACATCCTGGGTGAAATGAGAACTGAACTTCAGGAGGACAGTGACAACTCAAATGACCACCATGCTGTCCCTGGACTTGGAACACAAGGAGAAGACACTCGCAGAGTCTGAGTCCTCTCTCCCTTTCAAGGCTTCACTGTACTGTTCCCCTGTGGTTCTCTTTATATAAGACAATATCTTACAACAGAGAAGCTGGAGCCTGGTATGGCAGGCATCCCGCCCTCTACCTGGTGTTATTTCTCCTGAGATTCTCCAAACTGCAGACTGACGGATCATCAAGCATCAGAACTTGGCAGTCCAAGCCCCTAGCCTGAGACTCTAGGAGGAGGACGGCTAAACAACAGGAAGCGGCAGTTGGAGTCAGACCCACTCAGGCCATTTCCACTTGGGGGCGGCAGGAAGAATGCTCTGCTAACTTTAAGTATCTTGCTGAAGAGTTTGCAAAGATCAGGCTGAAGGTGTGACTGTGGTTTGCCATTATACTCCCAGTCCTCAGGAGGCTGAGGCAGGAGCAGGGAGACGACCTTGGGCAGCATAGCAAGACCCTGTCTCAAAAGCCAAGTCCTCAAACGAAAATGAAGGTGGAGCTCGGTGTTACAGCCCACGCCTTTAATCCCGGCACTTGGGAAGCAGAGACAAACAGAGCCCTGCAAGTTCGTGGTCAGCCTGGGCTACATTGTGAGACCCTGCTGCAAACCAAACAAAGCGAACAAACAAACTAAAATCAAAGTAGGCTGGAGGGAGGTAAAGGGTTGGGAATGCAGCACACCTGGAAGGCAGCTGGCTGAGCACTCATGAGGCCCCAGGGCTCAATCCCAAGCACCACAAAAACCAAGTGTGCTAGCAGATTAGAAATTCAAGGCAAGCCTGCACAGGGAGTTCAGGCTGACCTGGGCCAGAGACCCTGCCTCAAAATCAACCAACCAACCCATCCACACATCCAGCAACAATAAGATGGAGAGAGTAGTGCCACCTCTGCCCAGTGCCACTCAAGTTCTACCTCACCGGGACGTTGGCTGACAAGGGACTACTTAGACAAGGAATCCCCAGCTCTAGGTCTCATGGAGGCTCAGTTTTCCCAAAGGGAAGACAACATTCTGAGTATGTTGGTAGGTACCCAACCCTCTCAGAATGCCAAAGTGGGATGCACAAGTCCAGCCCACAACCTTAAAGAGCTTCAGCACACACAGTGTAATGAAGCAAGGAGACGAGCATCCTTGGAGCTATCGGACAGACGGACGGTGAAGACAGATGCAAAAAAGAGCGGTGGAGGCCTTTGTGGTGACAGCGACACCATCACTACCCTAGCACGTCCCCTCCCATGAGCACAGATGAGTCCCTGGGAGAAGAAGCTGTGAGAGACAAGGAGTGAAAATTGCCAGCACCAGTGCAGTCTCAACCCTGGCACTGAAAATGCCTCCACGCTTGCTGGCCACTTAGGCCAAGGCAGTAGGATTGTGCGGGCCAGGAGTGCCAGTGTAACACACGGA